TTCACTGTTATCATGTCTCATGGTTTTAATTATCATCTCTGTGCAGATGATTCGCAGATGTATGTACCCAGCCCTCCTCTGTCTCCCGAGCTCCAGTGGCGTGTTGCCAGCTAGCCGCCTAGTGGATACCCCATAGGCATCTCAAATTCAGTATGTCGGGGCAGCTAGGTGGCGCAGTGGATAGAGCTCTGGCCTTGGAGTCAGGAGGACCTGAGTTCAAGTCTGACCTCAGACACTTGACACTAGAACTGGGCAAGTCACTTAGCCCCGATCACCTGACCAAAAAACAAAACAAAACAAAACAAATTCAGTATGTCCCCTCCCTCCAAACTTCCCAGACAACGTGAAGGGCACCACCATCCTTCCAGGTTTGCAATCTTGGCATCATCCTCGGCTCCTCACTCCTACTCCCCCCCCCACCCCAAATCTTAGCTCCTACTCCACAGCATCTCTTGTATCTGAACCTTCCACTTCCTGGTGCAGGCCTCTACCACCTCTTACCTGGACTATTGCAATACCCTCCTGATCAGTCTCCCTGCCTCTTCTCCCTCCCCACACCAGTCCATCCTTTGAAGTGATTTTTTTATTAATTTATTTTAATTTATCAATAATCACTTCCATTAGCTTCTGAGTTTTAAATTTTTCTCCCCCTCCCTCACCAGGACAGCACACAATCTGATATAGGCTATACCTTAAAGTGATTTTTCTAAAGCCCGGGTCTGACTGCCTACCTCTCCTCCCCGTTCCCTGTCCCCTACTCAGGAAGGTCCATTGGCTCCCTGTTATCCCTAGGATCAAAAAACAGTCCCTGTTTGGTATTTAAAGCTCTTTACAACTGGCCCCTTCTTGTCTTTTCAGTCTCCTGGCCTATTGCTACCCTCCACACACACTATGGTCCACCCGACTTAGTCTTCCTCACATGACATTCCATGAGTGCCTTTGGACTCAGATGTCTTCTTTCCTCATCCCTGGAATGCTCTGCTTCCCGGCCTCCAGCACTCAATCCCTGGATTGCCTCAAGATTCAGCTCAGATTCTGCCTTCTGCAGGAGGCTTTCCCCCAGTTGTCGTCCCCTGCCCCCAGCCGCAGGTGCCTTCCCCTCTGAGATGAACTTCCACCCTCTCCTTTACGTCCCTAGTGATGTCCGTGCTGTCCCCTCCATTAGAATGTGAGCCACTTGAAGGCAAGGACTGTGTTTGCCTTTCTTCACGTCCCCAAGTGCTTAGGTAGCTGGGATAAAGTACATAGTAAGTGCTTAATTAATGCTTGTTGACCCAGAAAGAGATCTCTCTTTTGATGTTCCTCCAAGAACACACCATGTCCCTGCATCCCCTGAACCCTCCCTTCGCACCACGGCTCCTATCCCCATGCCACAGCACTGCATCCTGGGAAAAGCCGGCAGAGTCGCCCCTTCTCTAAGCTGTGGAGCCCCCTCCCGTCACCCTCCTCCTGCCTCCTGCCCCCCAGCAGCAGGAGCAGCCAGCCTTTCCCTTCATTTTAGAGCCTTGGCTCATCTGCAGGGCTTCCCTGTGGATGACCCTGGGGCGATGGCCAGGCCCAAGCAGGATACTGGAATGCCCCCACACCTTCCCTTGAAGACCAGGACATTTGTCCAGCCCTTTGTCCCTTTTGGAATAGATGCTATCTCTCAACCAGCCAGGCTCTGGGGTTTAGATTTTCAGGGAAAAGGGCCAGTAGATGAGGGGTGCTTTGTGTCCCCTTTTATCTTCACCTGCCTCCTGTCTCCTCGGGGCTGGTACCCAGGAAAAACAAGTGTCTTTGACATCTTCTCTTCCTCTCCTTCCCCTCAAGTGTAAATTTTGACAGGACCTGGCTTGCGTTTTAATGACTTCAGTTGAGCCGCAAATGAAATTTTAATTAGTTTGTGCCACACTCTGGCAAGCAGCTCCCTGGGCAGAGTAAGGAGCAGGGCCGGGGTGGCGGGGTGGCTCTGGGCAGAAAAGGAAGGCTCCTCCAGGGCCCACTTTGTGGGGTGGGACGGGCTGTAGGCGGGGATGCCCGAATGGAGGAATGGGGGCCAGGAGAGCCTAGGCTCCCTGTGTGTGATGCCTCAGAGAATCCAGAGGGAAGGTGAGGGGAGAGAGGCTGGGCCTGGGCCTGCCAGACCCTCTGTTTTTTCTCTCTTCTCTGTTCCTCTGTTCTCCCTGATGGTTTTGAGATGGAAGCCACACAGGAAGGATAGAAGATGCGGTTTCCATGGCAACAGAGCTGTCCATAGCCAACAGCTTCAGAGCCCGGGCTCTCCCAGGGAGGCAGATATGCTGAGCAGCCACAGAATTGGCCCCCACTTGCTGGCAAGGGGGTTGAGGGAGAGCAGGTAGCAAAGGGTCACCACGGGGGCGGTAACCTGATGTAGCCATCCCTGCCATCCAGGACCCTGCAAGAGGGGCCACAGGGCAACAGAAGGTTAGGTTTCCTTCTTGTCCTCAGAGCTTTCTGAAAAGTGGAATGGTCTGAGGTTGGGGGGAGTACTGGGGGGCGCGGATCTCTAGGAAACCTGGCGAGCTGGCACTTCAGCCTCGCACCCAGACCGATCAGTGGGCCTTACGTGGCCTTTTGAAGGATTAGCACCATCCTGCTGGCTGTCTCAGGCTCCAGCTGCGGGGCAGCCTTGCCCACTGCTGCCCTTTGCACCAGCTGGAGGCCCAGGGCTGAGCCAGAGATGCTGAGAAGGTCGGTCATTAACTGGACCCCAGGGAGTCAGCCAAGCCTGTTTTCTTTGTCCCGTCCTCCCCCACTGTGGCCTCCTGCTGATGAGGTGAGAGCCAGCCTATCATTCAGCTCTCTTCCCTGTTCTCCTGTTCTCTGAGCAGGGCTTCCTCAGAAGGTCATGAGCTCCCCTCTCCAGGGAAGGGCAGCAGTGCCTGGGGTCCCCGTTAGGAAGAAAAGGGTAAAGACTAGTGCCTGAGAAAGGTGGTTTCCTTTCCCCCCACTCCCAAGTGCCAGGGGCCTGGGTGATCCCTTCTCTGGGCAACTCTCTGATCATCTTATGTGTGGACTCCTTTTTCTCCCAATTCCTTACATAGCTGTGTTAGGGTCAGGACCTGTAGCCTCTGTGCTTCAGCTCTCGATGTGGGGGGCTCAGGGAGCCCTCTCCCAAGGGCCTGGGCAGGCTACAAAGGGCCCTGTGCCCAGCCTTGTTATGCCTGATCAGTTTTCTGATTTGAAAGGTTTTGATCAAGCAGAGGAAGCAGTCAAACCTTCCCTCCTTTCTCCCCAGAAAAGGAGAGACTCACTTGTATTCTCCTCTCCCTTGCCTCTGACCCCAAGGTGAGGAGGGGAGTCATGGGGGTGGCCCTTTTGCCCTGGGTGATACCTCTCTTGTGGCATTTCAGTAGAAAGAAGGCTCATTTGGGAGCTGGAAGTGAGCGTTGGTCGCTAAAAATAGTCCTGTTGTGAAGCTTGGCGTGTAAGGGTGACAGCGGCGAGGTCTACACAGTAATCTCCTCTGCGATCCAGAGGGTAATTGTACTCCCAGAGCAGGAAGAGGCTTGGCTTGGAGCCCTCTTCCCCAGGCCACCCTCTGGATTGCTCTTGACCCTCCAGTCAGAGGGTGGCCTGGCCCAGGCTGCTTTCGTGGAATGGGTAGAGGACGAGTAACCTTCTTCCCATAGTCAGGTTGGGAAAGCAAGCCTAGGGGCTGGAGGAGTGTGTGCAGTGGGCACCTGGGGAGCCGTGAAGCTCAGGCTGCCAGCCCCCCAAACACAGGGGAGGTGATGCTCTCCCAAGCCTGCCACCCTGTCTCACCAGCTCTTCTCCCATCCCACTTACCTCAGCCCCTACAGAGGGCTAGGCAGCTGTGGCCCTGATCCTAGGTGTGGCAGGAGGAGGGACGTATTTGTTTCCTGTCCTCGGCAGTTGGCACAGCTTGGGAAGAGGTAGCCTAGCTTACGTGGACCCACTTAGCCCGCTCCTAGCCTTCCCCTCCACAAAGTCACACCTGGTGCCATGGCTTCTTTCTGAGCCTCCTTCCAGTGTCTCTCTGTGTGAGGGACAAGACCTTGAGGGCTTTTGGCTCATGGGTACTATTCCTGCCAGTGCTGAGCAGTGCCCAGAGGGGAGCAGAGGCAGTGCCAGAGAATCAGAATCTTTCTGAGCTGGCAGCAACCTGCAAGGTGTGGGTGCTGCTGACTAAAGGTTGCAGAGGTCACCAGGAAGAGAGGGCCTAGCCCATGATGGGGATCCCCAGCTTCTGGAACGTCTCGCCTAACTGGCCCCCTGATGCCTCCTGGACTGGCCCGTAGTGAGGTAGGGGAAACATTAGGGTTAGGGTGGCTGCCTCACAGGCCCAGCAAAGTCAGTCCCCTTTGGAACTCGTATAGTTTGGGAGCTGGAAGGACCATGAGAGGACATCTCTGCCAATTCCTTAATTACACAACAGGGGAAATTGAGCCCAAGGGTCAGAAAGGTACTTGCCAAGGTCAGACTAGGAGTAAGTAACCAAGCCAGATCCCAAACCCAGGCCCCCCAACTTCTTTCTGGTCCAGTGTTTTTTCCTTTTCCTTTTTAATCATTCACTTAACAACCATCAACCAGGCAATAAACAAACAAAAAAAGAACCAAAAAAGAGGGTGATACAGGAAACTGAAACTGTTTTTTTTTTAAGTATTACATCACAATAGCAACAAAACTTTCCTGCGTGTCTGTGTCCCCTTCAAACCTTCTCTGTGCTCTTTCCAGTCCATTTTTAGATGTCTCACTGATGCTCTTCATTCCTCCTCTTTTTTGCATCACTTTTATTACCTCCCAACTCCCACCGTACCTTTACGCCTAGATAGAAGGCCTTCCCTTAGCACCAGTAAGTACAGTCCATAAAATAAACCATCTCCACTGTTATCCTTGCCCAGGGACGTCTCTTTCTGTACCCCGGGCCATCGCCTCTCCCCGTTCTTCTTTGCCCCTTTGGCCACATCATCCCCTCCTGCAGGGTGGTACAGTGGGCATCTCATGCTGCCTTTTTCTTCCTCCCCTTGCCCAAGGAGCGGAAGCTATGTGCCCATCCCAGGCTGGAGATCTACCAGCAGGACCAAATCCACTTTGTGTGCCCACTGGCTCGACAGGGTGACTTCTACGTGCCTGAGGTGAAGGAGACGGAACGCAAAAGCCGAGCAGCTGCTGAGGCTGATGACACCCAAACTGATGTCACAGGTACACTACGGAGGGGACGCGATGAGGGGGAGGGAAGCTGCTGCTTCCCTGCCTCAGTTAATGCCGCGTGGGTCCCCAGCTGTGTGCTAAGCCCTCTAGGGGATATGGAGGAAGAAGTAGACGTAGTGTTGGCCCTTGGAGACCTTCTGCTCCAATTGGGAAGACAAGACAGACAGCAGATACACATGCTGAATTCTAAAACACTGTCAGCCATACATTGACAAGCGTAGATGAACACACCATGTCTACAAGCACTATGTCTAGGTAGGTACTGTCTGGGCACCCTCAATTGAGGAAGGCTTCCCATTAAAGGTACATTTGAGATGTGTTGGGGCATTCGTTGGCAGGAAAACAGGGTGCCATCACCTTAAATAGTCAGAGGAGAGGTCAGAGGCCCCACTGGACCCTCACCCTTTGGCTCCTGAGGGCCCAAATCAGTTAAGGAAGTAGATGTTTGCCTTCCAAATTTGGGAATGGAGAGGGGGAGATCATGTCCCAGGTGCTGGAAATATACTCCATCCAGAGAGTGTGCATTGATGCCCACCAAGGGGTGTGCTGGAACCAGCTCGTACGGACTGGCTTAGGAGAGCAGTCGTTACATGTTCGTCAGGAACACGTCAGTCTCAGAAGCTGGCCGTTGCTGCAGATGAGGACTAGATTTAAGAGAAGAATAGAGGAAAGATATTAATAATGCAGACTAAACTTAAACGGGTGTCTTGCACTTTCAGAAAGCCAGCACCCTGCCTGTATCTCTGCCGTATGTGGGGCTAATGCCCCACAGGCAACTTAGGAAAACAGCCATTCATGGCTTAGTTGGGGGGAAGAGGAGGGAGGAGCAGAGGCTGTTAGCTGCCCACCCTCTTAGACCCAAGGGACCAGACCAGAAGGTCACCTCGCCCTCACCCCTGTCCTTAGTACAGGCTGGGGAGTGACCTCTTGGCCTGGACACGGCAGGAAATTTGCTTTGTCAATCCCAAGTAGACCCAAGGGGCTGCCCCTAAGCAGCTCATGTTGTGACCCATGAGAGGTCACATCGAACCGTAACTGGGGTTTTGAGCAAGGGGGGAGGTGTGGTGTGGAGAAGACTTAGCCTACTGCCTTGGGGGCAAAAAAGTTTCTCTATTCCCAGTTTTCTCCCCAACCACCACCAATATTGTCCTAGTTCTATAGCTCGGTTCCTCAGCTGCCGAGGTCACTGGGGAAAGTAGGGGAGAGTATGTGTAAGGGGGGGGTGCAGAGAGGCAGTGACTTGCTCCCCAGGAGACTGTGTCTAACACAATTAAGTTCATCTGCCACTTAATTACCTCCCTGGGGCACAGCCCAGGCCAGCAGTGCCCTCAAACCAGCCTTGCATTCCTTGGTGCTCCCACTGTGGACACAGGACATGGCACAAGGTCAGAGCAGACCTCAGGATGGGAGCGGATAAGGAGAGGCCAGGGTGAGTTGTGAGCTTCCGATCTCACCCCCCCCACTCCCACCCTAGTTCTTCCTCTCCCAAACATAGCCTGCCAGTGCTCTTGAGGGCCTGCCTTGGCACCCTGAGCCCTCCTCTGCCCTCCCCCCTCCAGCTGGCTGCAGCCCCCAGGCTCCCTCAGGGGCAGGGCCATGCCTGCACCATCACCCCCAGCCTGTCATCAACCCTTACGCCCTTTTCTGCCCTTCCCCCATTTCTCCCAGGCCCCCTGGCAGAGAAGGCAGATGGGCTTGCCCCTTGCTGCCAAGGTCCGTCCTGCCCACCCCTGGGCGGGATCTAGCTTCCTAACTACCAGGTGCATGCCACTCACCCAGCAGTGTGCAGTGGGTGCCTGGCTTGCCTGTAGCTCAGCCTGTCCCTGCCCGTCTCGCCCCGTGGCTGGGACGCAGGAGGTGAAAGGGGGTGATTAGCTGTCTCTTGGCTGCTATTACATTGATGTATTATTGAGTACCAGGAGAGGAGATGAATATTTGATTGCACATTAAGCCGGCTGCTGGGAGAGAGCCTGGGTATGGGGTTAGGGGCTGAATAGTGACCATCGTGTTTCTCCAGTAGCAGCTGGAACTCTGGCAATTTGGAAAGTGGCTTGCCAGGCTCCCTACCTGGCCAAGAAGGTGGAGGGAGAAGGCTCTCTGTGTTCCCTCTGGGGGCCCTGATGCCTCAGTACTCCTTGGTCAGTGTTGAAATAGAGACAGTGGGAAGTTTGGTTCTATCTGCCGGTGTTCTGAGGAGAGAGGCTCGTAGCTCAGAACGGGAGGGAGTAGGAGCCACTGCTTCCACGTGCAGGGTTTGGGTAGCGGGCCTCGGCGTAATGAAGCAGAGTCTGAGGGTTGCCTGAATGCTCAGAGCACCCCCTTTTCATTAATCTGTTCATCCTTGTGGAAGTGAGACCTGAGAATCAGACCCATCTGGACCTTTCCCAGCTCCCACTCTCCATAGCTGTGGAGTTCATGCATCAGGATGTGCATCGGGGGACAAAAGACAGTCCTTGCCTCCTACCTCTTTCTTTGTGAATGCCCTCCCCTTTGGCAGACAAGAAGGAAGGAGACCCTGCAGGTTGAAGGCCACTCTGGTTAGACCTCTGTTGTGGCCGGGGCGGGGTGGGGGGAGGGGGAACACAAACAGAGACTTCTGGCATTCCCCTCAAGAGTACCATCACGATGGGGGAGACATACCTAGAAAAAATGGAGGCTGCCGTGGATCTTCCTGGGAAGCTGTGCTCTGACCTTTGTCTCCTAAAGGGTCTCCTCCTGGAGGTGGTCTAGGCAGAGTCAACCCTGCCAGCACTCCGAGACGTCCCCTTGCTTGGCTGAGATCTTCCGAGTCTGAGTGTGGGGCAGAAGGTGGGGGTGGATGCCAGCTGGGTGACTGCCAGCTTCCCCTGGCACCCAGATCCCAGGAGAGCCTGTATGGAGGGAGCGGGAGGGAAGGACATGACAGTTTAATAAGGCTGGAGAAAACTGCTCCTCCCCTCCCCCTCCTCCTCCTCCTCTCCCTCTTCCCCCTCCCCCTCCTCCTTCTCCTCCTCCTCCTCCTCCTCCTCCTCCTCCTCCTCTCTCCAAGTGCTCAGTCTCCTTTGGTCTTAAAAAGAGAGTTCAGTAGCTACTCCAGCTCTGCTGGCCCCCAGGGGCACTAATTATTATTTAAAGAGACATGTGTTGCTGCTGATGAGCGGGTGTCCTGCCTCAGGGCTGCGGAAAGATTGTCTTCTGATCTCAGGGCCCCTGGGATGGGAGTGGGGGGTAGGGGGTCACCAGCAGGAGAGAAGGTGCGTCCACACAAGGAAAGTGACCAGGCAGGCTCCAGAGGCATACAGAGCCTGCCAGCCTCTGCCCCTACCATGTTTCTAGCCTCTCCATCTCTTGTCCCATCTCGCTGGGGCACTGCTAGCATGGGGGGGGGGGGGTAATCCACTGGCACCCCTAGAGGTAGAGGAAAGCATAAGCACAGAGTTGTATTAGGTCCATTTACAGCCCCGAGCCTATTCTCTCTTTGAAATGCAGCTCATCTGGAAAGGCACCACCACCCTAGGAGGCCTGGCTTGGTGGGGCCTCAAAATGGCAAAGATGGTCATTTTGTGTGGTCAGTCAGCATATGCCACTGATTTTTGAGCCCAATCCTGTAGATTCCAAAAAGGAATAGGATCCCAAGCCAGCAGCTAACCTAACCCTAATTCTGACCCCCTGTTGGGCTCTGGGGGTGCCCCATCCCATTATCCTGCCCCAGTGTCCAGCCAGATCTGCCACAGAGCTCCAACCAAGACCAACCAAAAATTCAAGACCAGCCCAAAATTCAGAGCATTTACACCCCCCGCCCCCAGCAGCGCTTAGGCTCTGGGCTCTGTCACTATCACCATGGAGACAGGGAACCAGGGAAGCATCGTGCTCACTGAACACAGCTAACCTCTCACCTCCCCAGTGCTACCACACCTGGGCCAGGCACCAGGCTGGGATAGGGGTGAAGAGGCAATTCCCCTGTCCCTCATGTCTCCCTGCCTCTGCAAGGGCAATGCTGGGGGCAATAGCTTTCCCCTCCCCTTCCCTTTCCTGGTTTCTCCTTTCATCAGATAGCCTTCCCTACAAAAGGGAAAGATGGCCAATTTTAAGACAAGGCAGTGTGATAAAGTGTTTAAGGCTGGGAGTAAGACATGTGGACGTGGGGAGCTCTCCTGCCCACACCTCCCTGCTGCTCCTCTAGCACCAGTAGCCAGGGCCCTAACTTAGCCGTCCCCGTTCCTCTCATCCTCCTCAGCAATCCTACCTGCTGCTTGAATGCCTATCAGGGCTTGGTGTTTAATCCTAGGGGGCAGAAAGTGGCCTTTATAGCAATTAATCTGGGGTCCCCAGGTTGGGGGAAAGGGCCATGGCTCTTCTTGGTCTCAGCAGCCCCCTCTGGGGTTTAAGAATTTGGGGAATATGTTGGATCCATCAGGATGTTACTAGGGGACAGGGGCTGCTGCTGCAGAGGCTCAGAGAGCTCCCCCTTTTAAGGTAATATCTTTGGGCATTGACCAGCCATCCCCTTTCACCCAGGCCTCAGTCAAGTGGAGCCGAAGTACCCAAATCTCTCTTCACTTGTTTCCTTCCAGAGACAAAGGCCTCAGGGGCCTCTGCCTCCATTCTGCAGCAGCCAGATTCCAGCTTCTCTGTCCCCAGCTTCTTAGGGGGCCCGTTGATTGGCAGCCTCGTCACATTCTTTCTGTGTGCCATCTTTAGCCAGGGGACATCTCTGGTTTGTTCCTTCCCTAGACCCACAGCAAAGGGACAAATGTATCAGGGGAGAAGGTGGGGACTGCTATGAGTATGCCTTTGTTCTCCCTTCCACCCCACATTCCCCAGGGCCATAGAAAACATTAAAGCTAAGTAAGAGCCAGGTTCATCAGTGAAGAGCTGGGGAGAGTAGCCAGGGCTTTGTGGGAATGCAGGGAACCATAGCTAACACCAGAGAGGTAGGCCAACCGAGCTGAGGTCCACACTCTCCCTCCCTCCCTTTCTTCCTTCCCTCCTTCCCTCTCTTGATGGCATGGAAATGTGTTGGCTAATGGTAGCACAGAGGTGGCATCTTTTTTTGATAGGCTTTGCCAGTGATGTGTGTGAGTCGTCCCCTCTCCACCTTGTATAAGAGAGGAGTGCCTGGGGAGGAAGTCCCCTGCCCAGGTGGTCTCAGTCCTGCCTTCAGGAAGCCCCTGGGTTTCTCAGAGGTTTGACTTGGGCTGTGCCCCCGCTCACCAGCCCCTTCCTTTCTCTCCTGCCCCAGGAGCTGACACGCTGAGCGACACCAGCTCCATTAGTCTGGATGCAAGCCCTGGGAGCCGTGAGAACTCCACCACCACCTCCACCATGTCCCCCGGTGTGGCAGGGCGCAGCTGGGATGACACAGATGACCGGAGTGAGCACAGCTACAGCGAGTCGGGCACCAGTGGTTCCTCCTTCGAGGAGCTCGACCTGGAGGGTGACGGCGCCTCGGGCGACCCTCGCTTTAGCCACGAGGCCGAGCCTCCCGGGCCCAAGTGGGCCAAAGAGCCCAGCACCCCAGAGAAGGATGAGGAGTAGCTGCCCCTCCTGGGCAAGGCCTCTGCCTTTCAGCCCCACTCTCCTCGGGCTTAATCAAAGAGGAACTGATCCAGTTCATCCTTCCCCACCTCTAACCTGGCCTGGCTGGGCCTGTCTCTTGCCCTTCTTCTCAAGACCCTTGGCTCCAAGGGCTGGGGCCCGGTGCAGCCCCGGCTGACCCTGTGGGTCTGTAGAGTGGCTCGTTGCCATCTCCTGACCAGGTTGGGGGGTTGTCGTACTCCCCCCCACAACCCTGAGCTGTTTTCTCTGTTCTTTCTCCTCACTCCCTGGCCTGTTATTCCCAGGCAGCTGGAGGGAGCACAATCTCTTCCCTCCCATTTGCCCCTCCCTCATCAGTCTCTTTTTCAGACTTACATTGGGACTTTTAGGATCCAGAATAAAGCAGATGATTTTCGTTTCACTCAGACTCAAGCTGCAGATTTCTTTACTGGTCCAGGACCCCCAGCAGTCACTGCCGTTCATACTCTGCCAGCTCCATTAGGGTCACCAAGCACCAGACTGGACTGTGGGGAGATGACTCAGAGTCTCCAAGGAGTAAGGAGATGGGCTGGGTGGAAGGCAGGTACCCATCACTGGAACAATCCTGAGGTAGGGGCTGGAGCCCTTGCTGTTTTCTTAGCATCATGGATCCAGAGATGAAAAGGGCTTCACTGACCCATTTAGTCCAACCCTGGGATTTTAGGGAGGAGGAAATTGAGGACCTGGGGAGGGTCACTGACATACCCAAGGTCACACAGCTAGGATCATTTAGAACCCAAGTCTGCTGAATGGAGTCTCACCATTGTACCACACTGCCTGCTTTTTTTGGAAAGAGCTTTGTGTGGCCTGTAAGGGCCTTCCCTGCTCCTTTAGTCATTGCATCACTGAGGTAGGTGGGGGGCAGCCCTTGGAGAAGAGGCCCACCCTGGACTATTGGGGACCGTACCCACTTTCTGTTCTCAGGGATGTTCTGCCTTCCAGGCCCCTCTGTCATCCCTACGTGGCTCAGTGACTGGTATAAGAACACACTCCAGGTGATGTTATGCTGCCCATACATGTGGGTCTCGCTGGTGCGTATATATACTTATGAGCAGGCATTCCCTGAGGGGGCCGAGGGGCAGAAGTAGACTGCCCAGATGCAGGGAGCCAGGCATCTTGTGCCTTCCTGGTTTGAGGGGCCCTGCTCGTGGTTGACTTAGGCCTCCCTTTTGCATCGTGTGTGTGTGTGTGTGTGACTCCCTTTACCCCCAGCCTTCAGCCTCTGTTCATACTGACCTCATCCACAAGTCTTAGAGCAAGGAGCGGCTGCTGGGAGCCAAGAGAAGTGGAGGAACACAGCAAGCACGATGGGAGCTTGAAGTTCACCCGTCTTTCCAGATCCTTCCGACAAGTCATGGGGTCTTATCCCATTGCTACCTTGCTTTCCTGGAAGGGATTTTTGGTTTTATTTTGACGTGATGTCAGGGTGTAATGTTGGGCTTGGAGTTAGAAAGACCTGGGTTCAAATCCTGTCTCAAGACATTGTGCAACCATTAACAAGTCATGTAATCACTCTGTGCCTCAGTTTCCTCATCTGTAAAATGGGTTGTACTCTTTGGCCTCTCAGGTCCCTTCAGGCTGTAAGTCTGATCCTGTGACTTACGGAAGCAGTCAGGGAATGAGGCTGAATGAAGCTGCCCTTTGAGTGGCCCCCAGATCAGAACAGGAGTGCCCCCACATGTGACTGGGATTCTGTTTGTCCTCTGCTAGGGTCAGGTCTCGGTGTGCCCATCTCCATGTCTGTGTGCCTGTTGGTGCATCTGTGAGAGCCACTCGCATAATAAAGTGGGGCTCGTATCCATTAGCCCACGAGTGTCAGGGTAGTGTTTGATCTGCCTCTTGGTAGGAGGAGGGGGACGGAAGCTAGTTCTGTGGCTCAGGACAGTGGGATGACTTCCCTGCTCCCTGAGTGGCCTGTGCCCCACCCAACTGATGCCCTGTGGTGCTCCCAATCCTGAGGTGGGAGGATTGGAGAGGATTGGTGGGCAGGGAAGAAGACAGCGTCAAGAGCCTCTTCTTGGAGCTGTCCTGCCCTCACTCAGTTTACCGTCAATCCCAACATTAATCCCTTCTTCCAACTGCCATAATAGATGCTTCTTATAAGTTGACCCCACACCTGATGAAAATTGGACCTAGGACTTCCTCTCAGAATCCCTCCACAGAATCACATTATCTCCAAGTGGGAAGGGACCCACAGAACACATCTAATTAAATCCAAGCCTGAACAAGAATCTGTTTCTGGTGATTGGTCATTCAGCCTTTGTTTGGAGATCTCCAGTGGTGGGGAACTCATTACCTTGCGAGACAGTCCAGGACACCTTTAAGTCACTCAAGTGTTTTTTTTTTTTTAATTTACATGTAATAGAAGTTTGTATCCCTGAAACTTCCACTCAATCCCACCCTTTGGAGCCAAGCAGAATATGTCTAATCTCTTCCACATGAAAGCCTGTGTTCTTCCCCCATACCTTCCTACCTTACCCTCATCCTGAGGCAGTTTTGCCTCCTAACTATCTTCTGGGAAACCTGGATCCCCAGTTTTGGGGCTGGAGAGCTGAGGAAGAAAAAGGTGAGAGCGTTGATTCCCCTACTCCCTCCATTCCTATCCCGGGCCTGGACAAGGATGGAGTAGTGGTGCCTGAATGGGGAAAGCCACCTGCTGGTGGAGGAGGAGGAGGAAGAGGAGGAATGTTTACTGAAGGAGACAAATATCGCTGCTGCTTCCAGCCCTTTGATTCACACAAATACACACACATGTGCAGCCACATACATACATATGCGCATGTACAGATGCAGACACCAGAACACATGTAGATGTAGGTACGTTCACTGCCCCCCCACCTCCTCTACCATAGTGCCTCGTGAGCAGGAGGAAGTAATATTTCATGTTGATGAGTATCTTAAGATTTATCAAGCACTCTAACATGTATTATCCCAGGTACCAGCAACGTCTCAGAGAGGGACAGGCTGTCAGAACTAGTCAAAGGTTCTGAACATGTTTTAGGACACACCCGTGTAGTCACTCTTGCAGATAAAAAATAGTCCCACGAACTGACAAAGGGACCCCAGCTCCATGCCCTTAGGAAGCCCCAGGCATCTTCATATCTGTCTATCCACTACCGCTGCTCAACCTCCCAATGAAGAAAAGGAAAAAAGGGTAGTGGGGCGGGGGAAGGGAAGGGAATCACCTAAACGCCATCAGTTGCTCTCAAAGTATAAGCCTGGCCTCCCTCTCCAGGGAGAAATGAATACCATTTGACAGGAGGGACAGAGGCCATCAGCACTGAGGGTTAGAGGAAGAACTATCCTGGAGCCAGGGAATGGAAAGTGGCTAGTCTAGGCTTAGGGAAGAATCCAGACTAAGGAGAGGGGCAGCCAAGAAAAGAACTAGCCTGGGATAGAGGCCACGGGACGGATGGTCCTTCGCCAGGGTCCGGAGGACGTGCACTGAGGCTAGGTTAGCTCAGAGTTCAGCACCTCGGCCCGGACAGCTCCGGGGCTAGGCGGTCTGGAGGGGGCAGCTCGCCCCACTCCTAGGGCTGGAGGGAGTAGCGAGGAGCAGGGGGAAAGTCGGAGAAAGGGGTCAGGGGAGGCTGGAGAGGGTAAAGGGGGAGAAAGGAGAGAGGAAAAGGAGAGGGAAAGGGGGGGCCGAAGAGGAGTGACGGAGCGGGCAGAGCCAGCAGGGAGGAAAGGGGAGGAGGGGCCGGGGGCGGGGCGGGCGGGAATGAAAGCGGCTGGGAGAGCTGGGCGGCAGGAGAGCGGCTCGGAGCCGGGCCGGAGCCAGAGCCAGAGCCAGAGCCAGAGCCAAAACGGAGAAGCCAGGAGCCCAGAACCCAAGCATTCGCCGAGTTGAGCTCCGTCTCCGAACCGAGCCAAGGCAGGTAAGGCGAGCTCCGGCTCCCTCCCTGGAGCCTGCGGGGCCGCCCTGCCCCAGCCCCAACAGCCCCTGAAGGTGGGGAGGATGAGCCCCGTCCTGCCTTCCTCTTCTGCCTCAGGGCTCTGACTCAGTCTGGGTCCCTCTCCATCACTGCCTCTGTCTCAGTCCCTCTGTCTCTTTTCAGTGTTTCTGTCGTTTTCTCAGTCCATCTCTCCCCCGTCAGTATATCTGAATCTCTCCTCCACACCCCCGTCTGTCTTGTTCCTTGTCCTTTCTTTCAACCCCCTCCCTGTCTCCCACTTCTTGTTTCTGTCTCTGCTTCTTCCCCTTCGCTGTCTCTGTTTCTCCTCCATTCCTGTCTTTCTTCTTCCTCCTCATCTCTGTTTCTCTTCCCCCCCTCTTGTTTCACCCCCCTCCATGTCCATTTCTCCCCACTCTTCTCTGGTTGTCACCCCCTTTTGGAATCTCCCTCCTCCGTCTCTAGAGTCTCTGATCTTGCCTCCTCCATTTCTCTGTCTCTCCTCCTATTCCTGGATTCTCACAGAGTGTCTTATATTCTCTTATGGAGAGAATGGGGTTAACCCCATATACATAAATAAGGGGTAGAGACAGGGCTCTCATGAGGAAGAGAGATCCTATTGAGCCAGGGGAGAAAACAGTAAGGACAGGTGGCTATCAGGGATGTCAAAAACCTTGGACTGGGTTGTCAGAATACTTGAAACCTAACCAGGTGACCCTGAACAAGTGCTTCTTTTCCCCTGGGCCTCAGTTTTCCCCATCTTGTGCCTTTTGTGAAAAGGTGACATTTCCCAGGGAAGAAATGTGTACATTTAGCTGCAAGACTGTGTGTGAACATCAAGGAGTCTGTATGTGTATATGAGGAAGGAAAGCTGTATGTGTGTTGGTGACAAAGAACCCTTGTATGAAAATGTGTAGGCTGGGGGGGGGGGACTGACGGGAGATATTTGCCAAGCTGAGGAAACTGAGTCACTGAAACAGCATCTCCTTCTCCTGCCCTCACCCTTTTACCTCAAGGTAACAGATAGGAACCTAGACCCAGCTTTTAGGTGCCTTCCTGATGCCTGAGGGAAAGTGTAGGAACTAATGAACTTCCCCTCACATTTCTGACCTGAATCACACACATTCAGACACATACACAAATTTGAGCACACATTGAGAAAGACATGCACAAATGCATATAGACACACCCACCTGTATATACACAGGCAGCCATATACACCTGTAACACACAGTTACTCAGCCACACAAGCAGAAATATAGACAGCCAACTATGCGGAAGCTTGAAATGCCTGGTTTCCCTCTCATCTTCCCCCCTCCCCCCCACCACACACACATCTTGGTCAACTTTTGGGAATCCATCAGCAAAAACAGACTAGGAGGGGACTATGTGACACTGGAAAGACACCTAAGTTCATCCAGCTTGATCCTAGCCACCCCAGGTCGCCAAGCTAACTCTTAGAGGCCCCTCTGTCTCTTCTTAAAAGAGCCTCTGCCCAGGTATTGCCTAGAAACTGAATCACACAAATCAGAGATCTTAGCATGCACTGCTGTTGTGATGAGGCCCTCACCAGATACTGTGCTGTTTAAACCAGGTATCTGAGAATGCTGTGACATTTGCATGAGATCTCCCTTCACTTCTGTCCAAGGCCATGTCTCCTTTCCCAGGCCCAGTTGAGAGACATTCTCTCTCTCTCTCTCTCTCTCTCTCTCTCTCTCTCTC